TCGAGTAGACAAATAACAATAATAATAATAATAATAATAATAATAATAATAATAATAATAATAATAATAATAATAATACATAAACAAACAAATAAGTCATACAGAGGAGTCTGTCACAAGATGACTGCAGGCCTAAATCCACTGTTACGTCATACACAAAGAAGTATCTATTAAGTGCACTCAATTCATTGCTGTCCACTGCTGCTTTACATTGGTGAATAATTCGAATGGATTAAAGCAGACATTTTCTCCGGCTTGTCATTTGCAATAACCCTATTGAAAACACATCGATGATGTTCCAACACTTTCTTTGTGTGCATGTATTTGTGTGAGTGAAACACAGAGAGAGGGAGAGAGAAGCGATGAGAACGGTGGTATGGATGACAAGTGATTGAATATGATGCAGACAAGCCTGAGAGTCTCCATCGACAACAAGAAGCCGACCAAAAGTGAGGTCGATTCGAATGAATAACTTTACATCACGATGAAATGTGCAGCTCGAGATTGACCTCATGACTGACACGATGATAAGAGGATTTATCAGTTGGAAGGCATAAACTCATGGCTAACCGCTTATGCAGTTGGTATATAGTATGCACAAAAGTGAACAACGAGGTACAAGAAGGAGAAACATGAGATGGTTATTCTATGGTGAATTCGATCTGTTTTCCATTCTTCGCATGGTAACAGGGTTGGCTATGCTAGATATACACTGCTGACTGTGTATCCCGAACCAACTTCTGTCTAACTCGATTACTCAGCTTGTACAGACCAGTCTGATCACTCAGTCAAGCCACATACCAGGTGACCAGCAGACGAGTTCGAGGACAGAGTGTTTGTCTAACTTGTGGAAGATCACTGAGAAAAGAAGATAAGTGAAGATATAGGAAGGAGGAGATGTGGCGATGGTTTGTAAATCCGGTTGTGGAGATGGTTTGTTGGAGGTGAAATATATGATCACGTAATGGACTAGCCTAAGCAGAATAACAAATTGGTAGTAGGAAATGCTTTCTGTGCATGAGGATGATGTTTGTGGAGTTGCTTTTTTCTCTTTTAAACGACTTGATTGCTAACCACCACCTTGTTAGGAGGATTTTGCCAGACACTTACCTAATATATTCTGTGGATGGAAACAATCGAGAAAGTCATATACCTTCTGAGATGTGAATCTACATCACTCACCCCTTGCTGCACTTACGGTCGTGATCAATAAGCTAGTCACATTGGAACTGCATGAGAGGAACTGACTTGTCACTGCATAGTAAACAATATCATCTTGCCTAGTTTTAAGTACTGACTAAAAGTCGTCGACCATGTTTGTGACCTGTCAGCCTCGTCATTACAGCACACACTTTAGTTGATGTTTAACAACTGTCTAGAATGGAAATGTGGAAGAAACGACTATATCGAACATCGAAGTTTTGTCAGTGTGTATTCTACCTCCTGATCCACAAGTAGCATGTGTTTCATGATTGATTGATTGTGGTGGTGGTGGTGATATGACACTGGAACGTCAGCCAATCGGAACTGTTGCTCAAACAACACTCCATACAATCTACTGCGAATATACTCCAGTAAAACTCAACACTCCGATTTGCTATGAGAAGTAGTGAAACAGACTAGTTGAATGTAAATGCTCAACTGTCCAGTCAAGTTCACACCACCTTCCCAGACAATCACAAAATGCTTTGAAATGTAGTTTCTGAGTGATCCATCCTATCGGTTGACTTATTCCTTCCTAAGTGTTGCAGCCAGACTGAGAGACACAGTTCAGCCATCCAATCAATCCCCTGTGTTGACATTTGGTATCGAATCGGTGGTCTCACCAAGCAGCTGACACAGTCACCTGTCATGCGCAGATGCCTCAGTTACTCACCAGTCAATGGGGGTTAGTCAGGTGCAGTCACCACGTGAATTCCTCTCTTCTCCTTTGATCCGCTTGTGATATCTCCGAAGAACTTCTTCCTGAAGAAGAATCTTGATGACAAATCAACTGTTTCATAGTGTAGCCTACAATAAGGTGAGGTGACATTGGGATGTAATCTGCTCTGACCGTACATGATGCGTTATTGCCGGTGGTCGCTGATCCCAAAGACAATCAGCTACACTTTGATACTGGTTACATTCCGAGTTAGTTGGTTAGTGGTGGTACTCGTCGAACCACAACCTCCTGTTTCTTCGACTATCCATTACAGAAACGTGGACAGACAGAATAAGTAGGCAAATCATACGTGCATCCTTGAAGTGAAGTATGTGATCACAAGGCCTGTCTTATCTATCCTCATTCAGCTGGTATCACAATGACAAAGCAGCCATACCAACCAGTAGGCAATAGAACAAGGTCAACATGATGCGAGAAGTAACTCATCAACCAAAGCAGTTGAGGTTCCTCAGTGTAGAACAAACCACACAAGTCCATGTGATCGCACTGCATGTAGGAGAGATTAGTTTGCTCTGTTTACCTCATACGATGAGTTTCTCGCCTCGCCTCGCCTCCCCACCACCACTCCACTTATCATGGAGTGAATTCATCAGAAATGTGTTTATGTCTCCCGATAGTTACTCAGTAAACAACCAGCAATTTCAACTGCCTTATTTCTCTGTTTCACCGTCTTATCTCAATAACCTCGGCAACAAAACTTGATATAACATGCATATCATGAAATAATAATCATAGTTACTGAGATCAATCACTTCAGTTAGAAAAGGGGAAGGCAGTATATATATATATATATATATATATATATATATATGCATGTGTGTGTGTGTGCGAAAGAGAGATAGATAGAAGGGGAAGCGAGGAAGGTATAATCATACGGTGCATGGATCTCTAATCATAATTCCACTTCTGCAATACTATCCAATATTATCCCGTTATCTATTTCACCATGGTTGATGATAATGTCGAGTGGGTGTGGGTGGATGGGACGGATTCTGCTGGACACACACATAATACGAAGCTGAGATTGACTCCAGTTAGGCTGTTAACCATCAATTTGCTCACCTATAATTCAACGATAATGTCTCTGTTTGAAAAGGATAACCAGTCTGGGTGTGGCCGGGAATACTGACCACGAGAGCCAGATGGTGTGTGTATATGCATATACAGTTGCTGGGCGGTGATAAAATGAGTTTTCCGACAAAATATTAACTACTACTTATAGAGAATTGATTACTTCGAGGTCGATTGGAGCAACACTGGAAGAAGGAAGAGAGTGGATAGTCGTTCTGCAACTGTATGTCACTCCTCATAAGATGTGCATCTGTGAAACCAGCATCTCATTGACATCATTTCCTCAAAGCTGACCGATTACTCAACATGCAAGGAATCACTCTAACCATCTAATATCCCATTAATATACAAGTAATCTAATACAACTTGGCATTTCATCGTGAGAGTTGAATGTGAACTGAGAAAATGTTCCGGTTAGTTGACAAGCATACTGATGAGTACAATGTAAATTGTGGGGCTGGAGCTGGTGTTTCCAGCAGCTTTGTAAGTCTATATACAGAATGGAAGAATGAAAAAACGTTCACCTGAACCTTCTTCAAGATGAGACACAAAGTGAATCTAACGTAGAAATAACAACAGGGAAAGCTTGTTGTCTTTAGAACAGAGTCACACACAGTGATTCACTGAACGTATATAACTCGACCGAAGTCAGCTGGTCCATAGCATAAGATAGGATTATCTTACAGAGACATCCTCATGAAGACACTGCCTATTGGTTTCTAGATCGAGTCCTGACAACGTATGAATCCACCTAGACATGAGCATATCAGAGATGCAGATACTTCAAGCTTCAGAACACATCGGTGCATTGAACAAACTGCATCGTGTAGAAACTAAACTGATCAACTCCCTTCCATCATGCATCCATGAGTATGTCAGGCAATCAGACCAACTGAGTGCATACACACCAGATGATATGCAAGACATTTCTGAGCATTTTGGAAGGTGCTAGATTAGTTCATATCACAAACCATTTCGGTGTCCTTCCTAGAACTCAAGTATGGTGGTGGTATTCCGTTCAATCTTTGTCAGTATTCTATGCATTTGAAAACACTCTGTGCTGAATACTTCTTGCTCCAAAACTCATCTAAACGCTGACAACAAACAGCCGTGTTCAGTGAGTACTTGTTCACTTACATGGGCGTTGTTGATAAGAATGGATGTAAGTAGTATATGTTGAGAGGGTGACAGAAATCATAGGGAATTACCAGCAAAGGATATGGATTCCGCCAAGAGAAACGCAAGAGACAAGACAGGAGTAGGAAGAGGAAATCAAGAAAGAAGCAGAAGAGGAATTCCAGCATATTTTGCATATGGCGATTTTAATCCAAGGTGTACCATATTTAACGACTACTGTCCCACTGATTGACAACAGTGACCTACATTCCTACATATCTCTCTTATGTTGCTTTCATTTGGTGTAGCTGCTTCTGGACGTGATGAAGATCCTGTGGCCTGTAGAGTACGAGGATGGAGACATTAAAAATGTTCTCAGGGACTTCGAGTCGGTCGTGGAGCTGGTGTCTGAAACTGACCACAAACTTCTACAGTGGCTTAAGACAGCGAGAGACCGCAGAGGAAAATTATCACGTTGGGTGTTATGACTGCAAGAGTACAACTTCACAATCGGCCATGTGTCAGGGAAAGGAAACTGGTTGGCAGACTTCCTCTTCTGCTTCTTTCTTGATTTCCTCCTCATACGCCTGTCTCGTCTCATACTTTTCTCTTGACGGAATCCTTACCCATTGCTGGTAATTCCCTATGATTTCTGTCACCCTCTCAACATGCACAACTTATATCCATTCTTATCAGCAACACCCACTACCATAGAACAGTAATTACCGGAATGAGTCAATTCTCCAGCATTGTGATATTCTCACCGCATGTGTACCCAACAGATTCAGTCGAGAATTGGCTGCAAGTCTTGATAACTAATCACCATGTTGCACTTCCTCACTGTTCACAGACCATTTCCCTGCTTCTCATCATGTCACCACCTTACAGTAGTTGTAGTCGTCCACCTTCTAGGAACTCAATCCCACCGCGTATCTATCATACTGATTGTGTTGGTTACCTACCTATTCGGTTCACTATCTTAAGCGTTTCCGATGTTCTGGGAAACATGTAAGTCATGTGAACGGAGGCTAGCCTTTCTTCCCCTTCATGCCTACACAAATGTCATCTGCATATTGTGGGGAGTTGATTCACAAATGTTGTCAGTTCCCGTCGTTGCCTATCGTGGTTTAGTTGGAGAACAGTGACAGTGACAGTGACGTCTGTTTTACTAGTTTTCACAGCTTGATCGACTCTCAGTAGCCATCAGTGAGAAATTCTACCTGATCGAAGTCAATGACTGTAGATAATTCAGCAGTGTTTCTGGCAAGTAATATGACCTAGTCATTTGACTATCTGACATCATATGGAATAGGTAATAGGTTAATCGCAGAGTCGCCGAAATCACTGAGTGGAAACACTTGGAGGTTCTGTACGAATCGAAAAGAGTCGAACACACAGAACCACCATGTGGTTATACGATTACGCGTTGGGTAGTCGGTGGAGGTCTGAATGGGGTAAGTTGTGGCCATATTGGCGTATGCCATTTTACACCTAAACGTGATGCTAGTGAACGAAGAATCAGCAATCCTTCCGAGTATAACTGGAATATGCTCATGGTAACTACGACAGTTTACAACCATCTGTAGACTGATGAATACCCAACAAGGGATCCATGATGACAAATATTGAGTGAGAAGGAATCAAATGTGATGCGACCACGTGATGTAGGCCGATATGTTCTGCAATCTGTTCAAGCCTTAACGAAGAGTGTCAGATGAAGATCCGTATAACTGGTTCAAATGACAACTCGACCACCAAATATTCCTCACAGTTGCTCCCTCAACGATCATCTCACCACATGGTCCTCCTACGAGGGGAAGTTGAAAATAAATTCTGTCACTTTTGAATTCAGATGCTGTCCATATACACACACACACTCTCTCTAAATCCACCCAATTAGAGTTCCTGATCACTTTGAGTATGCCGTAGACCGCTGGTAATCCATCGACAGTGAATTCTAAAGTTTGCTCAACTAGTCAGTTTGATAGATCCATTACTGAACAATACAGGTGCACATTCACCAATCCAGTGCCATGAGTACACAGCCTCAAACAACGCATGATCGAAATGCAATGGAACAGACTTTGCAACCATTAATGCGCACATAGTCCCCATTCAGCTCACCAAACACACACTGCTTGCCGACCCATTTCATCTTCCAGTATATCAAGTTGTGCCAGCTCATCACAACATCATAGTAATTTCAACCATGATACCGTCTTCAAGTAACCCCTAATTACACTTGTACACGTCACTGTCAGATCACAGAAATCAATGACACCTGCCACCATTACGACGAGCATTTTATCTGGAACAGTTCAGTGATGTATGCAACCATATCACTGATGCATTCAATATAGATGAAAGCACCTATCAATCTGATAGACAAAATCTCAAAATAACGGTAAATTCTAGAATGGATGAATCCATTCTCATGCATCACCACAACATTCTGTGTCATGTTGACTTTCTCAAACCAATCCTCCAACAACCAATCAACACACGATGCGTCTGGCCTAGCTCACCTCTTATTGGCTAATTGTGAGCCAATGAAAACTGTATCTGTTTCAGCCTGTTGATTCGCTACCTCAATGATAACTTTTCATTTCCTGACTCTCTCTCTCTCTCCTTGTCTCTGTCACTACCATCCTCTCTCCACCGAATTTTCTGTACCACAAGACAAACAGAAACTACTGCTCTCACTAGCACAACAAACAAACAAACAAATAAATAAACAAACACAGCTAAAAACACAAGATTCATATCTCTTCAACTCGACTGCATCATCTGATGTAAGCTAAAGATTTCGGTGGATTTAAACTCTCTTCACAAGCAATCTGTACTCATCCTCTCATATATGTTCACTTCACTATCACATTGACATTGAGCTGACGACGACATCAGCAACACAATCTGACTGATTATGTCACACAATACTCTGTCGACTACACAATTTCCCATTCATTCGTATATGGATTTATGTAGCAACACTGTCAGCAGTAACCTCACATATAACACCAACCATCCAGTATCCAACTGCTTCACATCACAACTTGTAAATATGAATACATCGCCTATTCGAATCCCTTCGATCGACCTGTTTCAGGAGGCTGTCAATTATTCCCTTTCACCTTCATTGTACACAAATCCATCCATTCATGTGAATATCACAGATGTCAACAATGACAGTGTGAATCATTCGACCAGTCATCCAGTCATCCAACTTCATCACAGTCTCCCACAGTATGACTCATTATTTCTTCAATATCACAATTACGTCAGTCGATATAATAGAGAGATGAATAGTGAACAAGTGAATGCGTTGACCACAACGGGGACCAAATTGAAGATGCTTCATCGTAACCACAAATATCCGCCTCATCAATACCAGTATCATGATCATCATCGTCATCATCATACCCATCCTCAACCTGATCTGCATGACATGCAATTATGCAAAGGAGTTATGAGGATGGGAGCAGAAGAGGAAGAAGAAGGAGGAGGAGGAGGAGGTGAGCCTAAACCAAATTTCAGCTACATTGGTAAGTGTTTAACTCATTGTCTTACAAAACTATTAGATTGATGTTCATTTCTGTGTTGATGAAGATTCGACAGTGTGACAGATATTCTTAACTGTGTAGAATTTAAATGAGCTGACTAGCTGATTGACTGACTAGGAGACGTGTAGACCCTAATGCGGTGGTGGTGTATCCATCCACATTGTCACCGTTCAATGCACACATTCCTCTCAAGGAGAGGAAGAGAGAGAGAGAGAGCAAGGATCAGAGAGTAGAGAGTGGGGTTGATATGTATTGGGAAGGTGCAGTCACCTACTAATGAGATACTAAGACGTTCAAAGACAACACAAGATCAGTGTTATGCATCGATACCACCTGTCCAGTGACAACACTTCAGTCAGTGATCCGGAATCACCAACCTCATCTACACCACCATACACGGCCATCCTGAAGATTTCCAGATTTGACCTTTCTACACTGCTGAGATTGGGAGTGTGGGATGGCAAAGGAATCTTCAGAGGTTTGTGACATGTGTTCACTGCAACATGAGACCGGTAGGTATATTCCTGAGTGTCATCTACACTATAACAACTGGCTGTCAACTAACTGAGATAAATGAATTCAAGACCTTTTTTCCAAACTGCATAGGTCATTCAACATTGATAGAATGACACAGAAATGCATAACCAATGGAAGGAATTTGGATTTCTGAGCATTCATCGTGATGCGTGTGCATTATGCCCAAATGTTCGTTGTAGCACGTCAGTGATAACTGAATGGAGACCGGTTGAAGTATTCAAGTAGCCACACACTCACACTCACACACACACACAGAGTAGGGGACCAGCATTACTGATTCGACTTCAGCATTAGAAATCATTGAAGAATAGTAGAATAGCAAGGGGAATTTGTGTCATTATTCCCTGGTGAATATCCATCTCATAATTAAATTCATCAACACTATGGGCACTTATATTATGGTTCGGGTAGATGTGACTGATGTTATGAGGCCATGCTAAACCCAGCACATATGATCACACTTGCAGGGAATCCTTGAATACACATACTACACAGTTACTTACTATCTGGCTACGCAAATTGCAGGTGACAACTGGAAACTTGAAGCGGAAATCATCTGGGAATATGAAAGGCTGCAAACCGTCAGTTAGATTAGACTAGATTATACTTGAATGGATGGTACTCTTAGGATATCTGTTGTATGACGCTAAGCAAATCCACTTGTCTTTACAACTTCCCATCAGATAAATGTAGCGGTAATTTAAACATATTGATTTATTGCATCCACTTATACTGACTGGTTCACTAGTGTGTGTAGTCAGTCGACCACCAACCAGGAAGTCATGGCTTCAAGCCTCACTTCACCTGTCACTGAGGTTGGCACAGCCAGATACCAGGACTATAAACTCCCATAACACAGAAGGTGTAGGTAACTGGCTACTGCATAAACAGGCACGTGGTTACTGACTGAACGCATTTTTATTTCGTATCACAGAGGCATGACTGGATGCACTGACTGACACGTTTCACTCATTGGCGATGGACAGTGATGAAGAGTCAGTCAGTCTGTGTAATTCTCAGTCACCTTAGTACAAGGTGTTATCGAACTGTTTTAAGTGAAATGTTCCACAACATGCTGGAGTATATCGAGTGATGCATAGCCGGGAAACAATTCTCCGTGTGTGTGTGTGTGTGTGCGTGTGTGTGTGGTGCATAGACCGAGATGACGGAGTTTGTTCAATCGGGTTCCTTCAATAGATATAGACTGCATATTCACGAAACAGATGTGACGCATTGATATCAGCTTAGTCTATGTGCCACACACGCAACTGTTTGATGAGAGTGAGTGAGTGACTCAATTAGTCAGTCAGTCAGTCAGTCAGTCAGTCAGTCAGTCAGTCAGTCAGTCAGTCAGTCAGTCAGTCAGTCAGTCAGGCAAGCAGGCAGTCAGGCAGTCAGTCAGTGATGCACAGTAGAATACTGGTCATCTTTGTGACGAATATCAGTGACAAAGAAATTTCGTGGGTAAACTCAGAGTGAAATCGAAGCATCACAGTAGTTTTCGTCAGAAATGACAATGAGAAAGCGTCATATTGCTGGTGTTTGTAGTTATTGTTGTAGTCAACTAGGTACCATAAATTTGCCAAGTATGCCAGATCATCCAAGACGGCCATCCACATTCAGTTGATGTGAGAAATTTGACTCTCAACTGAATTTATCCGACTACACAGGTGGTGAACTCGACCACCAGACGAATGAAATAGTCACCCCAACAATCAGATCTCGTTGGTCTAGCTTGTGAAATTTACAGATCAGCATCAGCGACTCCTAATTACCTGTGCAGTTCAGCAGTATACAACACGTTCATCATAAGAGCTGAACAGCCAGGATTGAAATTCTCCCCATTGAGGATGATTACCTCGAACAGGGGACAGGCTTTCAGGATAGGCATCTCACGGGATCTTTCAATCATAGTCGTCTATCGAACCACATCAATTCTTGATGAGAACTCTCTTCAACATAACCAATCCATCAAGAACAACTTGAAGAAGGTATTACTCCATGAAGTGTATACAAGCAGACTCTATGAAAACTAATGGTGAGTTGCCCACCATCAGTTCACACAATGTTGAGATACATACAGTGTTTATCTGAACTCCGTTGACTGATGTGTTGGGAGACAGACATGAATTCTGTAATCGACAGCGTTCTCATTTGACCAGTCACTCTGTCACCGCATCATATAACTTCGAGTATCACAAGGTGACATGTAGAGAGAGATGAATTTCAAGGATTCAGTGGAATTGGCTTTCATCAATATCGAAGTATAATTTCGCCACTACTGTAGATTGTAATTTCATTCTAGTCTGTTTATTAGAAATGTGTCATACAATGAAGGAACAGTATCATTTAGTGGATAACATCGTTTCAGACATAATTCTATTGTACATATTCATATATCAGTCATATATCATATATCTCCACAACTTTGAGATAGAGGTTATATCATCATAGTTTTCTCTTCTTCTCTATGATTACAAGAGCAAATTAATATTCCATCAAACTGATTATTCATTTACGAGTGGCATTGACGAATAAGCTTCCTTTCATCTGTGTCAGTGAATACATATATTTGCCATTTCATTCAGTCACACTAATAACAATGGAAGAATGGTTAGTTTACACATAATTGGCCTTTACACGAATATACCGATCGATATGGCTATTGAGGCAGTTAGAAATGCGCTTACGCATGACAGTAAGGTTACACGTTGAACGGAGGTGTTGGTCAAGGAAATCATGTTGGGATTCCTATTGTGTCTGTTGTCTTCAGCCTCTACTTTTCAAAATGAAATATATAAGCAAACGGAAGGGGTTACCATGGAATCAGTAATATCCGCCATCGGTCACAGACATCTTTGAGGGTAGTTAGGAATGGATGACCCTCCAATCATTTCGTTCTACTCCAAACACATACTTTCTACACGTAGTGTACAGTACAGTATTGAGACTGGAACAATATCAGTAGGTTCTCGGCACGCATAAATTCAACTCAACAGTGAATTCAATCCAATTCACCTGTCACTTCCAAAGTGATGAAAATGAGCGAGTAATGATGAATTACAAGATTAAGCGAATTCAAGAAGGAAGTTTAGAGATTAGTGTCTATAGGAAACCCTCACATTTGAATCGGTAATTAGATAGACTTCAAATCCTCTCACCGAATTTCAGTGAAAGAAAGTAGAACAGAAAATCTGCTAGAAGAAATTAGACACACGAAGAACAACTTGCGTTTGAATAACTACCCACCTGAGTTTATCAATGAATTCATAAGAAATTGAAAGAAAAATAGTAGTAGTGTGAGTAGAAGTAGTAGTAGTGGCGTGAGGAGTAATAGTAGAAGTGTGAGTAGTAGTAGTAGTAGTAGTAGTAGTAGTAGTAGTAGTAGAAGTATGAGTGGTAGTAGTAGTAGTAGTAGAAGTATGAGTGGTAGTAGTAGTAGTAGAAGTATGAGTGGTAGTAGTAGTAGTGGTGGTGTGAGTAGTAGTAGTAGTACCAAGAAAGCACCTTGGGATCTTCACATAGAATTCTCAATAAGGCTGGTTGGGATAACGGTGGCATTTAAAATAACAAACTCGCTTACAGATAAGCTCTGCAGCTTCAGACATCCTGTTGATTCAATTAGATGAGGTAATTTGGCTTACCAAGTGCTTTGAAAGGGTTGGAGGTCAAATACATACATTGGTGAAAGTAGTCGACCACGATCAGTTAGGCTACCTGAACACAAAACTTCAACTCAATCAAGATTAGTAGATCCTAATTGGGAGAAATGATCGGCAATAGCTCTCCACATCGATTTGCACACAATCACACAACACGATGGGACAGAGTGATCATCCTCAAAACAAACTTAGTTGAGTGGATGGAAGCAGAGGTTGATAACCGAATCTGCATTTATCCAATCAACACCAAATACGTACAATGAGAGGAATGATTGTACACCTGTCCCAGATAATATGGGAAATTCTACTTCCCTTGTCATCACAAAGAAGCAGAGTGAATTAGAACTTTGTAAGCCACGTATATCACAAAGGAGTAGAGCTGGCCACCTGATATGAATATGGACAGCAAATTATGTCGGAAACCTTATCCAGTAGATGATAATGTCTCTTCACTGTGTGACACACTTCTGATAAACAGACTAAAATGGAAATGGCATTGAGTATCCAACGAAGGGTGAATACTCGTGCAGTCTATCACTCCTCATATCATTCTCATAAGCCAAGAGTAGATACACCATTAGTTCCTATTGGTGTACAGCCATCACGTCAAGGTTGTTCCTGCCGTCCGAGCACATGTTGTGTAGTGCAGTAGACATCTCCAAACTGGCGACCCTTCACCACTCTCCCTATCCCATCCTCCTAATTGTCTTCTCTAGGGTAATAACTCTTAATTCAAGGTTCTGATTTCAAAAACCATTATTATTATTATTATTATTATTATTA